ATCCCGCGCGCTCTTGCGGATTCGTAGGAAACCCAACACTTTTTAAACATTTCTGTCAAACGGGCTTTTGCGAGCAACTTTTTCGAACTTCTGCGACAACGGTTGCGCACCTGCCAGGGCCATCATCCCTGTCAAATAATACCATGCGGGACACATTCGTTTTTTTCTTCGCGCGCGCACGCCGTCGTCGTCGGCCGCGGGGCCCTGAATAGTAGCCACGGTCGTCCGCATGCCACGAAGTGAAGTGTCCGAACGTCATAGGGCGGGAAGCTGGGTGTGGGTGGTGGCGAAGAGTCGTTTGGAAATTTGGTAGAGCTTGAACCGGCCCCCCCACGAAGTGGGGGTATTGCCTGGTGTCGTATGAAAACCCTGGCACTGGGGAGAACACCACGCGTTCGGGTAAAATGATTGTTGTTGTTGTTGTTGTTGTTGTAACCCGGGGGCCAAGGGCCCAGTTTGAGCAGGAAGATTTTCCCTGTCCAGAAACAGGGTGCGAGCGTCGAGGGGCACATTTTGATTGAGAAAAAGATATGCACCGGTGAGGGGGGGATCAACAATAATTGTTCTTCAGAAGTGAGAATTCCACGACAACAACAACAGCAGCAGCAGCAGCAACAACAACATCAATCATTTTATGAATGTTCGCTCTTATCTGCTCGCGTGTCATTCAATATGCATATCCCAAACCCTGGATACCCGCCCTCTTCGTCTTCGATCGACCCCCTTTTGGGGGGTATATTCATTCCCTGCCACGTGTGGTTGGTGAAGCCCTTGAAAACTAAGGGCAACAGATATAACGGGTGATAATGAGGACGGAGGGATCGGAGGAAGGGAGGGGCGGGGCAAGAAGGAGGGAGGACGATGATTCGCGTTGCGAGTGGCGATTCAGCTTGCGCCATGGCTTGCGCCAGCCACCCCAACGCAGGTTAACAATAAGTTTCGCCATGGGTCGCGCCATCAAAAAAAACGCCAAAGCGCCACGTACCACCCCATCTGGGAAAGAGAAAATAATAATAATAATAATAATAATAATAATAACAACGATAATAATAATAATAATACTAATAATCGTAATAATAAGAATAATAATAATAATAGTAATAATAATAATCATAACAATAATAATAAACACAAAAAAAGCAACAACCAAAAAAAAAACGTGGATACCCCACGGGAGGACGTACAGCTGCGAACTGGTGATTTTGTGGAACCCTGAAAAGAAGCATGATGTTGGGAGACTGGGGCGGAGGGATAGTGAGAACTGCAACCGTGTCGAGGGGAGCGCGGGGATGTGGAGTGGATTGGGATGGAGTGGACAAGAGTAGGGTCTCAGGAGGAGGAGCGGAAAGGAGTGGAGAAGAAGAACCGGGAAGAGTGCGGAGGAGCGGGGGGCGCAAGGAGGAATCTGGAGGAGGGACTGGGCATAATTTGGGAATGCGGAATGCGAGCGGGAAGGGGTGGAGATTGTTGGGGTGGGATGGGGTGGCTTGGGGAAGAGTGGGCGGAATGCGAAGAACTGAGGAATTGCACAATGGAGTGCGAACGACATGAAAATGAAGATAAGGGAAAGAGTAGAGAAGACTAGGAAAGAACGCCGAAAGTGGGGGCAGGTGGATACGAGCGGAGACTGGTGCGGAAACAAGGCGCGGGGGGATCGGAAGGCACCCGAAAGCCTCCCATGACCTCTAGGGGGCTTCGGACTGGCCCCGATGACCACCGAGCAGTTCCAGAGGCGCCGAAATCCTGCGGGAATGCCCCGGGGGCCCCGTCGAGGGAGGTCTTCATTCGACGCTTGCAGAAGAACCTGGGCCAGTGGAGCACGCGCGTCTCAAAGGCCGGCAAACCGGGCCCCGGCAAGCGGCGGACCGTCGGCTTGGCCAGTGGCAGCGTTGGCGATGCACACACACACACACACACACCGACCCGCGGCAACCTGACCCCAACATGGACAGACAGCGGGCTCACCACGATGACGACGACCACGACGAGAGGAGGGAGGAGGAGGAAGAGGAGAAGGGAGGAGGAGGAGGAGGAGGAGAAGGAGGAGGAGGAGGAGGAGGAAGAGGAGGAGGAGGCGGAGGAGGAAGGGAGGCGACGTTGGATGGTGGGGGGCATGAAGGGCGCGAGCGAGCGGGGGCCACGAAGGGCAATTAATCCGGGGCCACAGAGGGCAGCGACGGGGCCGCTGAGGGCAGAAACGGGGCCACGAAGGGCAGAGAGGGGGCCACGAAGGGCGACAGCAGGGCCACGAAGGGCATGCATATGGGGCCACGACGGGCGCGAACGAGCGGGGGCCACGAAAGGCATTCGTTTTGGGGGCCGCAAAGGGCGACAGCGGGGCCACTGAGGGCAGCAAAGGGGCCACGAAGGGCAGCGAGAGGGCCACGAACGGCGACAGCGGGGCTGCGAAGGGCATGCGCATGGGGCCACGACGGGCGACTGCGAGCGGGGCCACGAAGGGCATATAATGCGGGGCCACAATGGGCAGCGACGGGGCCACTGAGGGCAGCAACGGGGCCACAAATGGCAGTGAGCGAAGGCGACCGCGGAACCAGCACGGGCAGCGAGGGGCATCGAAGGCGGGTGAAGGGCAACGAGCGGCGACTGCAGTCCTTAACAGGCTGGTCGGGCGGGCAGGCGCAGACGGGCGGGTCGAGCGGGCGGGTCGTTGAAGCGTAAATTCGGCTTGAACCGCCAGGCAATATGTAGCGAGAGCGCGATTCCTGAGTGTCGAGGAGCGGCATCTGGATAAATTGTGAGGAAGTATCAGGCGGGAGCCGCGATTCGGTGGTAAGTTGCGGGGAAGTCCCAAGCGAGAGCGCGATTCTTCAATAAATTGTTACGAAGTATCAAGCGGGAGCCGCGATCCGGCAGTAAATTGCAAGGAAGTCCAAAGCAAGAGCGCGATTCTTCAATAAATCGTGAGGAAGTATCAGACGGGAGCCGCTGTTTTGCAAACCGGGGGCCAACAACGCAGTTTGACCTTCAAGACTTTCTCTGATAAAAACAGGGTGCGAGCCCCGGGAAAAGGCACTTCAATCGAAAAAACAATGTGCACCAGACGGGGGGATCAACAATAATTATTGTTCAGAAATGAGAGTTCAACAGCAACAACAACAGCAACAGCAACAGCAACAACAACAACAATGCAACCAACAACAACGACAACAACAGCATCAACAACAACGGAACCAACAGCAACAACAACAACAACAACAACAACAACAGCAACACACACACACACAAACACAAACACAAACACAAACACCAGCACAAATACAGGCACAGACCAAGAAACAAACACAACCACAAACAACAGCATCAGCAACAACAACAACAGCACCACCAACAACAGCAACCACAACAACAACAACAACAGCAGCAGCAGCAACAAAAACAACAAATACTGGGGGGCGTGGGCCGTCACGCAACACTGCCCTGGGCGATGATCAGTGCATCAGGGGCTGGGCTTGCTCGTAGGCGTCGTCGCGGTCTCTGGGGTTCTATTTGGTCACAGCCCGCAACACCGGCCCCGGCGGCAGGAGCGCTCTTTTACGCGCCCCAGTCTAGGTCTCCTAGATGGAGTCCGAGTAGATGGGGTCGGAGGACCGCTCCCCATCACCGATGCATCGGAGATGCGGCTCAATGTGGAGCCCGATTCTCTCCACGCTGGCGTCGCCGATGCAGCGCCGATGTCGCCGATGCAGCGCCGATGTCGACGATGCATCGCCGGTGTATCGGCGATGTATCGCCGATGTATCGGCGATGCGGCGCGATCCTCCGACCCCATCTACTCCGACCCCATCCAGGAGGCCTCTACCCACGGCATCTCGTTCCCAGTCGTCATCCCTGCACTAGCTCGCGCCCGCCTGGCGCAGCGGGCACATCGGCCTGCCAGCAGGTGCCCCGCGGAGAATCGTTATCCCCCGACGGCTTGCAGGGGCCGCAGAAGCCCTTGGGCCCCCCAAGAAGCTCAGAGACCGTCGGCAGGCGTGCCCACAGATTTCCTGAATCGGGAGCTCGTATCGTCAGTCTGCTGTCTTTGGCGTCGGCCCGGTAGTCCCTGGTCGTGCCGAGAAGTCGATCGATTGGGGCCCAGATCAAAGGGGCCGGCGTCCCAGATGTTCGACGTATTGTTTTTTTGTTTCCAATACGTTGTCCCCAGAAGTCCGACCTTTTCCTCAGAGAGACGGTGCTTCTTTTTTGTTTACGCTCCCAGGGCAAGGCGATGGGCCCCAGAGGCCAAAAATTACCAACAACCTGCCCTTGTGATTTTTGTCGCGACGCGAGCTTCTCTGGGGTTGGCGTCCGCCTGGTAGCTGGTAGGCCCTGATCTTGCCGTCCAGGCGATCGACCGGGGTCGATCGCGAGCGCATGGGCCCTCGATCGGCTGGTGTGCCGAAGGCTCTTGGGCGGCTCTGGCCGACAGGATCGGGATTAGGTGATCTGGCGTCGGATCGGCCTTGGTCTCCTCATCCACCAGCTCTTCTCGTCGTCGTCCTCATCCTCCTCGTCCAGCTCCTCCTCATCCTTCTTCTCCTTCTCCTTCTCTACTTATTCACCTGCTTCCTCCCCCTTGCCCACGCTCAACGCCACCTCCACCTCCTCCTCCTCCTCCTCCTCCTCCTCCTCATCATCATCATCATCATAATCCCACACCTGCCTCATCCTCCTCTTCCTGCTCGCTCTGGCCGCCAGGTTACGTTCGTTCCGGTAGGTCGCACAGCACGAGTATTTGTTCGTAATGTTGTTTGTCGCAATTTTGGTTGACTCGGACCGTCACCGCTTCGCCGCAACCTCCTCTTCCTCTACTTCCATGGCCTCCTCCTCCTCCTCCTCATTCCCCTTACTTTCCTCATACTCGTCGTCCTATTCCGATTCATACACCTGCCTCCTCCACCTCCTCCACCCCCTCCTCCTCCTTGTCTAACTCCGCCTTGTCCTCTTCTCCTCCATCTCCTTCTGTGGATCAAGCCAGAATATGCATTGTTGGTTCCGAGGCCCCGAGGGTACACCCTACTCCGACGCGCTGTTCTTCTTTGACGTCTACCTGCCGCCGACATACCCACTGGCGCCGAGAGGAGAAAAAAGAGGAGGAAGAGGAGCAGGAGGAGGAGGATCGAAGACGAAGCAACCGCGTAAGCACAAACGTTTGGAGGCCCGAACGCTTATGCTTATCCAGTTGCTCCTCTATCATAGCCACCCCCTAGTTTATGAAGTTTGCCATGCCGAACGAGTCAGCGGCCCCCCAGCCCATTGCCATCCCCCCTACCACAACGTAAGACTCATACGGTCGGGATGCTCGTCAAGGAACGTGCCCAGGAGGCTTCAGACCCTGGAGGGTTCCTTGTCTGATGAGGGCGGCGGTGATATCTATGGCCAATCCACAATTGACTTTCCACTGGCTTCCAGACCCTGGATTCCTTATCGAAAGTTTCCTAACCCAATGCCATCACCGTATTGGGACTGGAACGCGTTCCCACCTAGCGAACGGAAGGCGCTCGCGTTTGGTCCCCCCGCCGACGGCCTGGCGATGAAAACAGCGTGGGCCGAACAGAGGCTGGAGCGGAGCCTCAAGAGGCCCTTGCGGGGAGCTGCGGCGGGACACGCGATTCCGCTGTCTCTCGGGCGAACGAATGTCCCACGAGCGCAGCGAAGGCGAAGCAGGCGCCGCGCCGACGCAGCACCGCCACTGTCGCGCACAGCCTGCGCGCCACCTGGGCGAAGACGGCATGTCGCCCGCCCTCGCGCGGCTCCACCGCCACTGCCGCTCTCCTGCGGTCCAGCGAGCGGCACCCCGCGCCGCGCCCGCGCGTGAGCGTCACTCCTCAGCGAGCTGTGCACGGAGACCGGGCGAGGGCCACGAGTCGCCCGCGCGCGCGGGGGCCCAGCTCCCGGCGAGCGGAAGAGATCTGCACCGCCCCGCTGCGCGAGCGCCAGCGTCGGGCGACGTCGGCGCGGTGCCGTGGCGACATGCTCGCCCGCTCGCGCGTCGACGAGCTGGCGAGCGAACGGGATCCGCCGCGTCGAGGCGGGAGCCCCCTTTTTTCTCACCCGCCCCGTCCAGCTCCCGCCGCGTACTTTGCGACGCCAGCGCCGACACGTCAATGCTGATGTGGAAAACGTGGACGCCGCGATGCTTATAGCATGTAGGATGAACCCCTCCCGATGGGCCGGCTGGGTGACGAATCGTGCTACATCACGACATACGCATGTACGAATGAGGGTACGTATGCATCAATTCATATAGCCAAACATATTGCACGGAGAGCCCTGCCCTGGATGGGCAGCCCCCCCAGCCCCGGCGCGCGCCCCAAGAAATGGTCCCTGGGGGCACGGTGGGGCCTGACTTCCTCGCGCGCCGGGGATGAGGATGACGTGAGCTCCACAGGAACTCCATCAAATGACGGTTGATTTTCTGCCCTCTGGGGAGGGGGGCGAGAAGAAGGATGATGGAAGGTGGAAGGGAGAGGGTGGATGGGAGAGGAGGAGCAGGCGGAGAAGGAGGAGGGGATGGATGGAGAAGGAGGATTCGACCCCCGCAGGTGCCCCCCCAAGTGAAGTTTTGGTCCTTCGGCGAGAGCCTGAACCCGAACCTCTACGAGAACGGCAAGGTCTGCCTCAGCCTCCTCGGCACCTGGGCAGGCACGGCCCGCCCGCCCTCCGCCCCCCCCATCCCTCCCAGAAAAAAAAATACGGCTTTCGGGCTCGGACGATGTCGTGAACTCCCTCGAAGTGTTCGGTGTCGTGACCTCTCTGCGGTGTCTCTGGCCTCGGTATGCTTTCCAGCAGCCGCGCCACGCCCTGAGCGTTCCAGAGGTGCCCGGATCGCCCCGAACGGATGCAGGGAAGCCAGGTTATGACCAGAAAGCCCAGGGCAGCTTGCCTGCGGCAAGTCCCGCCACCGTGCCCAGGTTGTGGGCATGAAGCGTATTGGATGTTCGTTGGGAGCTCGTGAGAGGCTTCTCGGGGGGCTCTTGCGGGCAGTTTCGAAGCCTCTTGCGGGCCGTTTCGGGACCTCTGGGGACCTCTGGCGGGCCTCTTGGGGCCTCTTTGGGCCTCTTGAGTGCTTCTTGGAGCCTCGTGTGGGCCTCTTAGGGTGGGAGGCTCGGAGTTTCGGTTTGTGTTCCCTCCCTTGGGCCCCCTGTGAGGCTGTCTTGGGGCCCTCTTGGGCCGTCTTGGGCGTGTCGTAGGCCGTCTTGGGGCGCTCTTAGGCCGTCTTGGGGTCCTCTTGGAAGCCTCGTGGGTCGTTTTGGGGTGGTCTTGAGGGCCTCTTGGGCCGTCTTGGAGCGTCGGAAAATCGAAAAGGCGGGTACGCCAAAATCGTGCAAAAACCATAAGGATATCAATGATTGTTGCCTCTTGGGGTCCCCTTGGGAGGCCTCTTGGAGGCATCGTTGGGCGTCTTGGAGGCTTCTTGGGCCATCTTGAGTCAACCTTCGGCGTCCTCGAGCGATCGTTCAGCGACTCAGTCGGGGCTCTCTTGGACCGTCTTGGGGGCCTCCTGGGCCGTCATGGAAGCCCTGGAGAGTCCACGGGAGGCGCTGTGGCGGCCTAGGGACCAAGGCGGTTGATTGGTAGCGTAGCATGTCCGTGCAATGCCTTGCGAACTCAGATGATTCAGTAGTGATAGGGGGCCCTAGAGTCTGACGTGGATCTTGCGTGTAAATCCATATTTCGCAGCGCGACATGCCTGTTCTTTTACTTTCAATGACGAGCCTGTTTGCAACCGGCAGACTTGAGATTTTGAAGTGGGGCCCATGCGATTGTGCATTCAGATCTCGCCTAATAGGAGCTGGTGCATAATACTACGATATGTGCGTATGAGAAAGTTCGCAGGTTGTAAGACAGGCCGTCTGGGAGATACAGGACTGCAGGAAGGAAGCCTTTCCGATTGTAATCGTGGTCGCACTGGAGAGACCCGCACGTCCTCCGGGGCGCCTCTTGGAGGTCTCTTGGGGGCGTCTTGGGGGCCTCTGGGAGGACTCTTGGAGGCCCCTTGGGGCGGGTTGGTCTCTTTGCGACTTCGGGGCCTTCTGGGAGGGGTGGCCTCCGGTGGCGCGCAGGTGGCGCACCGTTCGGGGGCCTCTCCTGGAGCTTTCCTGTGAGCAGTCTTGGGGTCCTCTTGGGGGCCGTCATGGGGCAATCTAATGTTGCCTCATTGGCCAGTCGGTCGTTTGGGGATATTCGTCTGCCGCACGCTCGCTTCCTCTTTGAAGCCGCGGTTCGCTGCACGAGTTTGCCAAGTCGCAGGTCGGTGCATGTTGAGTTCTTGCTATGCGTGGCGACCTTTTGGTGGCTTTTGGTTCGCACAGCGGGTGAAGTCGAGTGGTGTGAAGTTTTGCGGTCGTGATCCATCCTCCTCCGAAGAACATGGTATGGGGGCCTCGTGGTCCGTCTGGGACATTCTGAAGACCGAACAGCCGATGATGTCGAGATGATGCAGCAACCTCGGGCTTTTCCAGAGTGGTTTTGGCGTGCGGGGCCGGCCTCCATGCCCTCCGTGACATTTGCCCTAGATGATAAAATCAGGCATGCATTTACACATGTACAAAGATGTATGTGTACATTGGTATAAACATAGACGTATGTACATATACATCTTTTTCCATACACATACCTACATATGTCTGTGGAGTGGGCTTCGGAGATTTTGATCACGACACAACTGGGTGAGAGGGCGCCTTTGCGGTAGTGGGCAGGTAGCGTGGCATCGCCCCCTAGCGTGGAAGCAAAAGGATAGCCAGAAACGAAAGGCTCCAGGACGGGATCCCCGGGACTTCCGCCAGGCCTGCTGGGAGTTTGGGGTTCCGCGGGGGCGGCGGGGGGCTTCGGGGAAGGCCACGCGGCGAAATCCGCGAGCGCCAGGAGACGCCCCGGAGGCCCGCGAGCCTCCTCCTCCTCCTCCTCCTCCTCCACCTCCTCCTCCTCCTCCTCCTCCTCCTCCTCCTCAGCCGTTCCGTGCCCGAGCGGCCCGTCCTTGCGTGGACCGCCTGGGCGCTCCCGTCGCAAACTTCGGAGCGGCGATGCTTCGGGGAGCCGTAAAGAAGCATGGTGCCATCAATGAACGCCGTCGTCCGCAGTGGCGGCGCCGCGAATAGGCGCATGCGGGGCCGCCAAGATGCCTCCCCTTCCTTTCGCCCTCTCCCCGTCCGTTTCCCCCTTCCCATCCTCCTCCTCTTGGCAAGCAGGGGTGATGCCTTACAGCGCACAGCCCAAGAATCGCAGGGGCCCGACGCCTTCCTCAGCCACAACGCTGGAATCAGCATGTGCGAGAAGTGCGAGAAGTGGCAGCAGACTCTGGCCCGACTCCGCGAGCGGGAGAGAGTAGGGATGCAGCCCGCCGTCCTCAGCTACAGCGCCGAAAGAAGCGCGTGTGAGAAGGGTGGGCAGTGGCAGCAGGCTCTGGCTGGGCTCCGTGAGGCGGAGGTGAAACTGGTGCCCGACGTCTTTCACTACAGCGCTACAGTCGGCGCGTGCGAGAACGGCGGGAAGTGGCAGCAGGCTCTGGCTGTGCTCCGCGAGACGGAGATGAGACTGGAACCAGACGTCCTTAATTACAGCGTTGGTATCGACGCGTGCGAGAAGGACCAGCAGTGGCATCAGGCTCTGGCTGTGCTCCGCGAGACGGAGGTGAGACCAGAACCAAGGCATCCGCAGGAGAGGGTCATCAGCTACAGTGTTGGTATCAGCTCATGCGAGAAGGGGCGCAGTGCTCTCACCCGGCATTGCGAGAAGGGCGAACGTGGGAGCGGGGTCATCAGCTACAATGTTGGTACCAGCTCCTGCGAGAAGGGGCGCAGTGCTCTCACCCGGCATTGCGAGAAGGGCGAACGTGGGAGCGGAGTCATCAGCTACAATATTGGTATCAGCTCTTGCGACAAGGCGCGCAGTGCTCTCACCGGCATTGCGAGAAGGGCGAACGTGGGAGCGGGGTGCCCAGCTACAATGTTGGTATCAGCTCTTGCGAGAAGAAGCGCAGTGCTCTCATCCAGCATGGCGCGACGGGCGAACGCGGGAGCGGGAAGCCAGCTACAAAGCAGGTGTGGGCTCTTGCGAGAAGGCGACCAGTGGCAGTTTCTGGCACTGTGGCACGGCGAACGCAGGGGAGGGTCACCAGCTACAACGCCGGTATCCTTCCTTGCGAGAAAGCGTGCGGGCATCAGCTCGCGTGCGGAAGGGCTGGGAGTCAGTGGCAGCACCTTGCGAGAAGCGGGGGGCGAAGCTGGAGCCCAATATTGTCGGGCACTCTGTGGCAAGCCTCTTACGAGAAGCGGGGGGCGAAGCCGGAAGCCCACTAGTGTCGAGAGCTCAGGGCCAACCTCTTGCGAGAAGTGGGGGGCGAAGTTAGAGCCCAGTATCGGCGGGAACTCTGTGAGAAGCCTCTTGCGGGAAGCGGGGGGTGAAGCTGGAGCCCAATTTAGTCGAGAGCTCTGGGCAAGTTTCGCGCGAGAAGTGGGGGGCGTAGCTGGAGCCCAATATCTTAGCTACAACGCTGGCATCAACTCGTGCGAGAAGGGGAAGACAGGCAGTGGCAGCAAGGACTGTCAGGCGTGTCAGCCGCGTTTTAGGCCAAGCTTTTCTGACGGTCAGTGTAAGTGGACGGTATTGTGAAGGAGGTATCCACCATCCCGAACGAGAACGGCCAAGGGTAGACTGATTCGTTATGGGAGTGCGGCCATTCACCAGGAACGCCTGTGTAAGTACGGCTTGCAAGGCGTGAGGCGGCTTGCGTGGTGTTTTCCATCTGCGTAAGTCCTAAGTAGCACAATCCTAGCACAATCCTCCTCCTCCTCCTCCTCCTCCTCCTCCTCCTCCTCCTCCCTCCTCCTCCTCCCCCCTCCTCCTCCCCGGGAGCTCCCGGAATCCAGGCGCTGGGCCCCTCGAAGACGGCGAGGAGGGCGGGCCGAGGCGGCCGTGCTCGGCCTTCGGAGCGGGGGGGCTGTCGCCCCCACTGCGGGGCGCAGCTCGGAGAGTTGGCGAGCGTGGACCCGCCTCTTCCTCCTCCTCCTCCTCCTCCTCCGCCTCCTCCTCCTCCGCATCCTCCCCTCCTCCTCCTCCCCCTCCTCCTCCTCCTCCGCCCTCCTCCTCCTCCTCTCCTCCTCCTCCTCTCCTCTCCTCCTCCTCCTCCTCCGCCCCCTCCCTCCCCCCCCTCCTCTCCTCCTCCCCCTCCTCCTCCTCCTGCTCCTCCTTCTCCTCCTCCTCCTCCTCCTCCTCCTCCTCCGCCCTCGGGGTGGGCGCTGGGAATGCATGCTGCGCTGCCTGTGTCTCAGCCCTCGACTACGCGCCAGTGGTTGCAAGTGGGTACTTCTGGACTCTCAGATCCCATTCTGCTTCCAGCACCTTCGTGTTTTGCCTACTTCTTCCGACCGGCGCGTACTCGTAAAAGTGACCCTTCGCCGGAGTGACCCTTGGTGCTGGCTCACAGGGACCCCCCCGATCGCTGAGCGCGATGCAATGGTGGCTGCTTGCGCACTTGGATTTGGCCACCTTGTGCCCCCTGATTCAGGGGGCACAAGGTTGCTTCAGGCTTCAGGCTGAAGCCGCGCACCAAAGGTCACAATTACCCCGGGTCGCTCTTGCGTGTAGCCGAAACTCGCCCAGCTCCGAGCTCCATTCAGTGTCTCGCGGCACGGCCGCGGTCGGATAATTTCATTTCGCGGCCCCGCAAAGCGTGCTGGTTGGGCCCATTGCGTTTAGTTTGCAAGGCATCCTTGCATCTCCTGGCCTCCAAACTCGAAGACCCCAACAGTTACAACAAAGCACATATCGCCCTCGCCTTACGAACGCCATGCATGTCCGCCCCAAACGCTGGTAACGTGAGGGCGAATGATTTTCAACACATGGTTCTCGCTTGAGCGCCATGCATCCATCTTTACAAAGATATGCATGGATGGAGGGATGGTCCTTTTTAACTTGGGGCCCTCGTTTGAGATTCCTTCGAAGCTCTTTACCCGAAGCTTGCAGCTGTGCGTGGAGTGCGGCGGCGACTCTGTCAAAAAAGGTGGGGGCTGTCGCTTGAGACTTCCAATATTTTCGCGCTACGCAGCACAGGCACTTGCAACAGCTTCACGGATTGGGGGCGGTCCTTTCTCAACGTTGTGATTATCGTGTGATAGTTGTTGCTACCCGAGTCTGGTGCGCCTGCATCTGGACAGCTCCACTAGTCACAGGAATGGTGTAGGGCCGTTGCTGTTAAAATTGGGCCTCCCGTCTGCATAGCACGCTCATGGGGCGCTCGTCGTTCCATGGGGCGTTCCCGCAGTGAAGGGTGGCGCATGTAGGGGAGGGTGCTTGGAACGGGAAGGTGCGTTGCAGCGTCGTTGATGCATCGGGGGATTGCTACGGCTCCCTCCCTCATCTTGCCTCCTCTGCGTCTCCCTCCTACTCCTCCTCCCTCCTCCTCCTCCTGCCCCCCCCCTCTAGGAGCCTCTCTACTCGTTCCCCTCCTCCCCGTCCCCCGTGCTCCTCTCCCATGCTCCCTCCCTCCCCCCAACTACCCCCTCCGTGCCCCTGCCCCGTCCCTCCCCCCCCCCGCCTCCCAGGCAGAGACTCGGAGACCTGGAGCCCGGGGAGGAGCAACCTCCTGCAGGTCCTGGTCTCCCTCCTGGGGCTGGTGCTGAACGCGGAGCCCTACTACAACGAGCCCGGGCTCCGGACGGCGTCGAAAACGGGCCCCCGGCGCAGGATCGGGAGGAGAAGGGAGGGTGAGAAGGCGGGAGGAGGGAGAAGGAGGAAGAGGAAGAAGCGCAGGAGAGAGAAGGACGAGGACGGCGACGACGACGACGACAAAGGAGTGGAGGGAAGAAGAGAAGGATGGAGAGGACAACTTCATTGACCAGGGGGGAGCAGGTGACAGAGACATACTTGTTTTCCAGCGTGGGTCACAAACAGTGGGCCCTTGCATTCTCGATGTGCACTATGTGGTGCAGTAGAAGTGTGTTGGGCGCAGTCGATGTGGTGCAATATTGCGAAGGCCTGACGGCCGGTGCCGCCGACCCTGTTCGCAATGCGCAGCAAGAGGCACGGGCTGTGGGATGGTTTGGGGGAACGGGGAGAAGGACGAGAAGGTGGGGGAGGGAGGTGTCGTATCTGACCCGGGACTTCCCCGGGACTCCCCCGGGACCCCCCCCGGGACCTCCTCTCCCCCCCCCGTCGGGGAAGGGAAAGGGAAGGGGCTTCCCTTCGACTCAATGACGACGTTGCTCAAGGTCGGTACGGGGGGGGGGCGTCGTATCTGACTCGGGGGGGGGGTCGCTACCCCCCCCCGCTACCCCCCCCCCCTCCCGGCGGGGGAGGAATGAAAGGGAAGGGGCTTCCCTTCGACTCAATTACGAGGTTGCTCAAGGTCGGCTTGGCTGGAGCCCAGGGGAAGAGGAGTCCCAGGGGGGGGCGTCGTATCTGACCCGGGGGGGGGGGTCGCTACCCCCCCCCCCCTCCCGGCGGGGGAGGGATCAAAGGGAAGGGGCTTCCCTTCGACTCAATTACGAGGTTGCTCACGGTCGGCTTGGCTGGAGCCCAGTGTAAAGAGTCCCAGGTGGGGGCGTCGTATCTGACCGCGGGGGGGGTCGCTACCCCCCCCCCCCCCCCCCCCCTCCCCGGGGGGGAGGGCTGAAAGGGAAGGGGCTTCCCTTCGACTCAATTACGAGGTTTGCCTCAAGGTCGGCTTGGCTGGAGCCAAGGGGAAGAGGAGTCCCAGTGGGGTGCGTCGTATCTGACCGGGGGGGGTCGCTATCCCCCCCCCCCCTCCGGCGGGGGAGGGATAAGGGAAGGGGCTTCCTTCGACTCATTACGAGGTTGCTCAAGTCGCTGGCCTGGAGCCCAGGGAGAAGGATCCCATGGGGGGCTCGTATCTGACCACCGTGGGGGGGGTCGGGCTACCCCCCCCCCCCCTCCCGGCGGGGGAGGGATGAAAGGGAAGGGGCTTCCCTTCGACTCAATTACGAGGTTGCTCAAGGTCGGCTTGGCTGGAGCCCAGGGGAAGAGGAGTCCCAGGGGGGGGCGTCGTATCTGACCCGGGGGGGGGTCGCTACCCCCCCCCCTCCCGGCGGGGGAGGGATCAAAGGGAAGGGGCTTCCCTTCGACTCAATTACGAGGTTGCTCAAGGTCGGCTTGGCTGGAGCCCAGGGGAAGAGGTCTCCCAGGGAAAGGGAAGGACAGAGACGACGAGTACAAAGAATGACGGAGATGACGGCTCGAACGGAAAAGCCCCTCACACACGCCGACAGGGTCGGCGGATTTGCGGTGCAATATATGATATATGTGATCGCTATGCGGCTCAACAGGTATGGGGGCAACCTGTGTTGTGCAATCGATGGAATGTCATCTAGAAATACATGATGCAACCTTCTATTCTGCGTAATCTTCGCGCAAGCCATTTCACGAGAATGCGGCACCGCGGCGGCCACAATTCTGCGACGAGCCGAATTCTCGGAGCCGCCAGCCAGCGCAAGAGTCCGCCCATGGGGGCCGAGGGAGGAGGGACGGAGGGAAAGAGGTCAGGAGGAGAACGGGCGGAAGGAGGGAGGGAGGGAGGGAGGAATGGAGGTAGGTCAGTAGCAGGACGAGGAGGAGGAGGGAGGGAGGTCAGGAGGGAGAGGGGGATTGTTTGGATTGCGACGTTGATGAAACCGATAAGTTGTCAGCAGAGTGCGGCGCTGCAGCTGGCAGAAAATTTCAAGACTACATGATCACGATCAAGTACCAAGGAAACAAGTACAGTGAACAGTACATGGCAGGGCAAGTCTGCACAGCGAAACAGCAAGAAAGGCGGCAAGGGCGGAGGTGCCTCTGACTAGAGCAAAGGTTGGAACCACGCTCGCAGGACAAGCAAATGCGTGAGGGGGCGGAGTTGTCTTCGCCCCCCGAGGAGGCACGCAGACGAGACGGCGGCGGAACAACAAGCCCGATCTTCGTACTAAGAGTCAGAGGTGGGCATGGATGTGCGTTCCTCCTCTTGTCAAGGATGAGGAGGGGAGGGAAGGAGGGAGGAGGAGGCGGAGGAGGAGGAGGCGAAGGAGGAGGCAGAGTAGGAGGAGGAGGAGGAGGAGGAGGAGGAGGAGGAGGAGGAAGAGGAGTTGGAGCTGGCGGAGGAGGGCGCAGGTGGTGCTGGGCAGCGGCAGCGCGGCGGCGGCCCGGGTGCCTACAACGGCCACAGGAGGTTGCAGCAGCTGTGGGGGGCACGCAGCGACGCCGGTCGCGCCCCCCTGTGCCCGACGACGACGACGACGACAGCGACGACGACGACGACGACGACGACGCCGATGACGACGACGACGACGAAGACGACGACGACGACGACGTGGCCGCTCGGGAGCAGCCGTGGCAAGTTCAACGCGCGTGACCCATCCTCCTCTGCGGGCCCTAGCCAGCCCGGGCGGGGGAAGCGGGAAGGAGGGAGAGCTCAGCATCATTTACTGTCTGGAACTTTTGGATCGCGTGTCGCTCCGCTGGTTCTGGCCCACCGCGTTTCGGTGCGACACGCTATCCACGTCGCGGTCCCCGAGTGTCTACGTCCCGAGCGATTCCCGAGCCTCCCGCCCCGCGGAGCGGAGCGACATGCTAACCGCTCGCAGGGCATAGCGTGTCGCCAGGGCCGCCGCGGCGACACGCTAACGAAAAGCCCCCGGCCGTAACCGATCCCCTTCTTCACCAGGCCATGCAGTTCCAGCCTTACCATCCCACCCCCCCCTGTTGGGGGCCGGCCCCTCGAAGCCCGAAGGGAACAGCCTGTACATCCCCACCAGGGGGGGTTCATCGGGCAGTCGGGCCAAGGCCATGCTGGTGGGGATGGGGATCGACGAAACGGTGTTCCAGAGCAGCCAGAGCAAGCACGAGCTGCATCCACGATGCTGCAGCGTGCCCTCCCGTCCCAAGTCTCCGCCTCATCAGTCACCACAGGCTCTCTCTCTCTCTCTCTATCTGCGCGAGGCGCCCCCCGCTGCAAGACGAGCGCCGGTGAGAGGGATGAGGATGAGGGAGGAGGCGGCAACGGTGGATGTGGAGGAGGGGGTACGACGGGGAGAACGGAGGACGGGGGGAAGAGGACTGACGGAGAGCAGGGAGGAGAAGGAGGAGGAGGAGGAGGTGTGGAGGGGAAGGCGGAGGAGATGGGGATGAGGAGGAGGAAGAGGTGGAGGAGGAGGAGGAGGAGGAGGAGGAGGAGGAGGAGGAGGAGGAGAGGAGGAGGGGAAGGCGGAGGAGGAGAAGGAGGAGGAGGAGAAGGAGGAGGGGAAGGAGGAGGAGGAAGGTGAGGATGGGAAGGTGAGGAGGGGAAGGCGGAGGCGAGGGAGGGGAGAACGAGACGAAGGAAGGAGGAGGCGGAGGTGGGGACCGCGGAGGACAAGGAGGAGGAGCAGGAGCATAAAGAGCAAGAGCGGGAAGAGCAGGAGGAGCCCTCCCAGCCCCCAGGTTCGAGCGCGAGCGCGGCACGCCTCAGGGCGACCTCCGGTCCCTGCGGTACAACGAGTCCGTAGCGCTGTCGAGCTACCACCTGATGCTCGCGGTGCTGCAGGCGCCCTGGTCCTCGTGGACGACGAGGAGGCGGAGGAGGAGGAGAAAGAGGAAGGAGGAGGAGGAGGAGGAGGAGCAAAAGGAGGACGAACGTGGAGAAGTAGGAGGAGGAGGAGGAGGAGAAGGAGCGAGGAGCGAGGAGCGAGGAGGAGGAGGAGGAGAAGGAGGTGGACGACGAGGAGCGAGGAGGAGGAGGAGGAGGAGGAGGGAGAGCAGGAGGAGGAGCAGGAGGAGGAGGATGAGGAGGAGGATAGTGGAGGAGCTGGAGGAGGAGGAGGAGGAGGGGAAGATAAGAAAGAATAAAAGGGGGAGGAGAAAGAGGGAGGGGTCAGGAGGAGGGAGGACGGGAGGTCGGGCGGAGGAAAGGAGAAAGAAAGATACAGAAAGAGTGAGTACGTGGGAGGTCCACGCTGATGGAAAGAGGATAAGAATGAGGGAAGGCGGGAGGAGGAGGAGCCAGAGGATGCAGAGGAGGAGGCGGGCATAAAGATAGGATGGCGGGAGGCAGGAAGGCGGAGGAGGCGAGAGAAGGAGGAGTAGCAGGAGGAGAGGAGGAGCAGGAGGAGGAGGAGGAGGAGGAGGAGGAGGGAGTACTGTAAGATGAGGAAGAGGGGGAGGCGGAGTACGACGACAAGGACGGAGAAGGATGGAGGAGGAGGAGGAGAACAACGACGAGGACTAAAACGAGGACGGCGCCGCCGCCACATCCAGCGCCCCAACACTGGCTGCCGAAGGCCGCCGAAGGGCTCCGAGGGCCGCCGCTCTACGCGCGCGTGGCCCGTGCCGCCGAAGGCCGCCGGAGACCTCCGAGGGCCACCGAGCGCCGCTGACGGCCGAGGGCCGCGGCGGCGGGGACGACCCCGCCGCCGACAACGATGACGACCACGACGCCGACGCCGATAACGACGACGACGATGACGGCGAATGCGACGACGAACACGACGACACCGACGCCGACGACGGACGGCGACGACGACGATGACGATGACGACGACGACGGCGACGACGACGACGACGACGACTAAAACGACAAAGAAAACGACGACGCCGACGACTGACGACTAACAGCGGCGACGGCGACGACGACGACGACGACGACGATGACGACGATGACGGCGATAACGACGACGACGCCGACGAAAACGACGACGAAAACGACAACGCCGACGCCGACGACGGACGACGACGACGACGACGACGACGACGACGACTCTGACTACTCCGACGCTGACTCCGATGCCAACGCCGACGCCGACGACGCACGATGACGACGACGACGACGACGTCGATGACGACGGACGCGACGACAACGACGACGATGCCGACGACGGTGACTACAAAGACGCCGACGCCGGCGCCGACGCCAACGACAACGACGACGCCGACGACGAATACGACGACGAATACGACATCGCCGACGCCGACGACGAATTCAACGACGAATACGACAACGCCGACGACGCCGACGACAACGACGACGTCTCTGACGACGCCGACGCCGACGCCAACGCCGACGACGGACGACAACGACGACAACGACGACGACGACGACGACCGTGACGACAACGACGACGACGACGCCGACGCCAACGTCGACGACCCTGCCGACGACGGCGACGACGACGCCGACGACGAATACCACGACGAATGTGACAAAGCCGACGACGCGACGACGACGACGTTGCCGATGACGACGCCGGCGACGACGACGACAAAAACGACAACAGAAACGATGACGACGACGACGACGGCGGACCTCTGACGACGACGACGATGACGACGACGATGGTGACGACGATGGACGACGATGACGACGACGACGACGACGACGGAGACGACGACGACGACGACGACAACGATGACGACGACGATGACGCCAACGATGACGGTGACGACGACGACGACGACGACGTCGACGCCGACCCCGACCCCGACGCCGACGCCGACGACGACGACGACGCCGACGCCGACGGACGATGGCAACGACGCCGACGACGACGACGACGAAAACGACGACGTTGACGACAGACCACGCTGACGACGAGGACGCCGACGAGGACAACGAATACGACGAAAACGACGACGACGACGACGACGACACGACGAAGATGACGACGAAAACGTTCACGAAAACCACGACGGCTACTACGACAACGACGACGACGACGACAACGGTGACGACAACAACGAAAACGACGACGCCGACGCCGTCGCCGACCGACGACGACGACGACCACGCGACGACGACGACGGCGACGACGACGCCGACTCCGAGGCCGACGCCGACGCCGACGCGGACACCGTCGACGACGATGACGACGGCGACGACGAAAACGACGACGACGATCACGAAAACGACGACGGAAACAACGACGAAAGCGACGACGAAAGCGAAGACGACGACACCGACGATGACGACCACGACGACGGACGGCGACGACGACGGACGATGACAGCGGACGACGACGACGACGCCGCCGCCGACGCCGCCGACGCCGACGCCGACGCCGACGACGACGCCGCTGACGGTGACGACGACGACGACGACGACGACCACGACGCCGACGACGACGACGACGACGGCGACGCCGACGCCGTTGCCGACGCCGACGCCGACGACGACGAGGACGCCGACGACGACGACCAAAACGACGACGCCTACGCCGACGACGGACGACGACGGCGACCACGACGCCGATGCCGACGCCGACGCCGACGCCGACGCTAACGCCGACGACGGCTACGACGATGACGACGATGATCATCACGACGGACGACGATGACGACGACAACGGAAACGTCGACGGCGACGACGATGACGACGACGCCGACGCCGACGCCGACGCCGACGACGATGACGACGACGACGGCGGCAACGACGACGGACGATGACAACGACTCCGACGACGACGACAATGACGCCGGCGACGACGACGACGACGAAAGGCTGCCACGACTACGAGGACGACAACGATAACGTTGACGCCTCCGACAGACGACGTCGACGACGACAACGTTGACGATGACGACGTCGCCGACGCTGACGCTGACGTTGACGCCGACGCCGACGCCGACGCCGACGTCGAGACCTGACGCCGACTTCGACGCCGCTGACGGTGACGACGACGATCACGAAAATGACGACGCCGACGCCCACGACGGACGACGACGGCGACGCCGCTGCCGACGCCGGCGCCGATGCCGACGCCGATGCCGACGCATTCGACGGCTACAGGCGGCCCGGATTAGTAGGTCGACCTGCCTCCTGCAATTCTGTGGCAATGTGGCCCTCGGAAGGGTCCTGTGTCCTCTCGCGTGTCCTCTCCAATCAAGTCCGACTGTACGACGACGACGACGACAATGACGACGCCGACGACGACGACGACGAAAGCGACGACGATCACGGCCACGATGACGACGCCGACGACGACGACGAGGACGCCGAGGACGACGGCGACGACGACGACGACGACGACGACGACGGCGGCGGCGACGGCCGACGCCGACGCCGACGACGACGACGGTGACGACGACGACGACGGACGATGACAACGACGCCGACGAAGCCGAAGACGAAAATGACGACGACGAAAACGATTTTGACGACGGACGCCGACGACGACGACGACGCCGACGCCGACGCTAACGACAACGCCGTCGACAACGACGACGCCGACGACGACAACGACGCCGACGCCGACGACGACGATGACGACGCCGACGCCGACGCCGATGCCGACGCCGACGATGACGACGACGACGACGACGACGACGACGACGACGACGACGACAAGCACGGCTGCGACGACGACGACGACGACGACTACGACGATACCGACGACGCCCCCGACGGACCACGTCGACGACGACGACGTCGACGACGTCGACGACGACGACGACGTTGACGACGACAACAACACCGACGCTCGACGCCGACGCTGACGCCGACGCCGACGATGACGCTGACATCGACGACGACGAGACTCGATAACGACGACGCCTCCGACGGACGACGCCTACGTCGACGACGATGACGCCGACGCTCGACGCCGACGACGACGCTGACGCCGACGCCGACGACGACGACGTAGCATTCCTCATAGTGTCTTGTCATCCCTTCCTCACTGCTGACTTGCTATTGTGATGGGTGGCTCTCAAAGGAACCTCCTGGATGTTTTCTCGAAGGCTGCCAGTAAGCGTGGTCCGTCCCAGTCCCCAGAGAAAGCGAGACTAGAAGAACTCAAACGGATGGCTGGGAAATCCGAATTCGATGCCACTCCAGGCGCGGCTTCTAGTAAGGGCGAGGGCAACCTTGCGACGCCGTGTTAGATAAAATTGACCAGATGGCCTTGAGGAGCGACCTGGAGGATATCACGAGTGGCCTCAGGAAGGAGATCAACTCGTCGGTGTCGGAGACTAAGAAGGAATTCCAGAAGGAGATCAAGTCCTCGGTGTCGGCGGCCGTCAACCCTGTCAAGAACCTCCCGGACGCCCTCGACAAGCGTGTGACTGAGATAGAAGCTTGTCTTCTTCCTGCGTCGCAGTCTTCTTCCTCGCCTGCTTTCCAGGACCTTCTGAATACAGTCAATCGTCTGGATGCCGCTTTCCGCCGAGTTGGTTTGGTTGGCTGGCACTAGCGCAAGCTCCCACGCCAGCGCCGACGCCAGCACCGACGCAGAGCTCCGAGCAGCAGGACTGGCACCACTCTGGCAATTACTGCCGCCACCATCGCCGCCGCCATGACCACCACCCCCACCGCCACCACCGCCGCTACAGGTTCCACACTCCGCGCCCTTTCCACCTCCGCAGCGGGGACCGTGCACACCGCCCTTTCCATCTACCAACTTCCAGACGCCACCAACTCCAGCGCCTACACCAGCGCAGAAGCCAACGCCGGCGCCAGCCCCTCCCCGGCGCATTCGCCCCACCCTCCTGCGGTACCCATATGAAGCGGCATCTGGGACGCCGTCTTGAGTTCACCATTTGTTCCTTCGGGTGCGT